GGGCAGCTGCCATGACAGGCATCTCTGACCTAGCCTTTTGTTCAGACACCTTCTGCAGAGGGGGAATGGAGTATATAGGGCAAACTTTTTATTTATTCAACTGCCCGTAAGAACTTGATTGTAAATAAACCTATATTCTGCTTTTAAAACCCCACAGTGCTTCGATTCATTTGTGTGTTTTGTGTGTGTGAGCTCTTCTGCATAAGTGAAAGGGGGAGGGAGGACCTAAAATGTGTTCCTCTGTGTTATGTTTTTCTGATGAACGCTAGGTTTGGGTTCAGCTGCATGTGTGGGGTTTGGTGTGGAGGAGGAAAGAGGATAATGCTGTTAAGCGTCACGCTGGCCCTCCGGCAGATGCAGCCTGGTCTTGTCCTGTCTCAGGCATGCTGCCTTGAGACTGAAGCTGAAGGAAGTCTCGCCGTGTTAAACAAGTGCCGCTATCCTTGAAAGGGTTGACGTATTTTTGGATGTGCTGGATAAATTACTGAACTGAGGGAACTTCCTATCTGTGATATTTCAGAGCTGGTGGAAAATAGAAGGCTTTTTCTCATGTGATACTTGGAGTGCTGCCTTGTTAAATCTTTAAGCCAATAATAGGAGTTACATGTTACTATGGAAAACAAAAACCCTCCTTGAAGATAATGCTCTGGATCCTGCTTCGGAGTAATGAAGCAGAGCCTTCAGCTGTTTTTTGCTATAATGTACAAATTTCCTGTGCAATTAAGAGCCCTCCTTCTGTTTTCATGGGAAACTCTGGCTGGCTTTTGGAAATGAGAACCATAGCAAAGATCTAAAAATACTAGTTGTGATTCTGGAGCACTTCAGAAGACGAGATCTTTTGTCTTCCATCTGTTGCTCTAGCAGAAGATCCTTCTGCGAAGGCACCTGCCCAGAGTCCAGGTGACCTTGGCTACTGCAGAAAAGTGGATCATTACATGACAAGTCAGCACGATGAAAGATTATTGAGAGATTAAGCTAAGGTAATAAAAACTCTACAGGCTCTGCTGAGGAGGATCAGGATGGGTTTAGGATGTTTATGATTTAGGCTGCTACACTTGTGTTTTTCTATAACGTGGACACAGATTCTTAGACAAAGAGCTTTGTTTTGCCTGTTGATGCTGTTACAAAGTAGGTTAATGTTATTCAACACAAATAAGGATAAGGGCTAGCTAGCCAAAACCTTAAGCATTTTGGATTAAAATACCTTAGGACTGAGGTATCTAAGAAATACTAATGACCAATTTTAGCTTATTTTCTTGCCATAGTTCGTTTAATTCTATTGCTCGTTTTCCGCTTCAAACGGCAGCGGTTAAAAGCAAAAATGGAGGTATCTACTGTGCAGAGGTGGCTGTTGCAGTTTCCTTGCTAAAGGTGGAGCTGTCCTGCTAGCATTTTTGGGGGGACATCTCCGCTCTCGCCAGACACAAGGCGCATTAGAAAGTCTGCGTGGCGGAGAAGCTGCCCCTGAGCCTTCCTGAAGACGATTGCAAGGGCGTTCGTGCCTGCAGTTCCCAGCCCTCAGAGGAGGAGCAGGTATGATAGCAAGGCTCACTGCTCTTCTGAGGAGCTGATTATCCCTCAGTAACATCTCACAAACTCTTAAGGGGGGAAAAAAAAAAAACTTTTCTTTGCTTTTGCGTTACCATTGCATAACTGAGCATAATGTGTTAGTTTGGGGCTAATATTTCTGGGGCCTCCTCCTTACTTCCAACAAACAGGATAAGATCTAGCTTTCTTTCACGAACTCGGGCACATGCACACTTCTTTGTTTTAGGGCTGGCTGTTTTGTGTTTGCCAGACTGCATTAAACAGGGTAGCGATTAAGCCCGCCAAATATTCCAGCTCTAGTCCATAAAACATTGCTGGCATTTGGAAGACACTGCAAGAAGTGAGGAACACTGGTTCTGTCTTCGTTTTTTGGGTTGTTTTTTTTTTTTTAATGATTCATGTCCCCAAGCCAGTATACTCAGTCAAATGTCTGTGATTGTTCACAGAAAGTAAACCTGATGTGTGACTGTGCAAGACTGAGATGGAGGGCACTGTGAAGGCTGGAGAGCAGAGAGGGTCTCATGTGACTTTTCTAATCAAACTAATAGGTGTAGCCCAGAGAAAAGCTACAGCTGTTTCTGCAGCTTGCAAGCCAGAAATTACACACTTTGTTTCTAATATCGAGACAAAATTCTTTGGACAAAAAGCTATTCTTGGGATATTCATGAACAGAAAAGCTAAACTGATTAAAGTCTCTGTTCATCTGTCTTGCATCTTGGATGTTGTGCCTAATTTTTTAAAAGTAAGCTAAGGAGGGGAGGTACACCAGCTAGCAATGTGTTGTTTTGCAGCAGTGTGCCAATGGGATGTGGGTGGAGCAGTAATACAGAAACTGCTTACTGATTATGAGAAAAATATATTGTTTGTAATGCTTAGGAGTCCTTTATGATGGCCTCTATTCAGAGAGGGTTGGTTTGGTGTTTCATAAACTCCCTTTCTCGTAAACAGCTCTTTTATATTCAGCTTCTTACCAGGCTGGATGGCTTGCAACCCAAGGAAGGGGAAGATCGAGAGAGCTTTAGAATAAAGCTGCTTTCAGTAACCATCCTGCTCCATGTATATCTTCAGGCTTTGCTAAACATGTGAGGATGACGTTGTAGACCAGCTCATTGATGGTCTGGACTTCCTTAGGTAATGCTTTACGTTGCTGACTTAACCACTTTCCAGTTGAATCTTAGCCCAGGTAAAATATTTGCTCTTGGACGGGGATTAATTCTTGAAATCCTGGATGAACGCAGCTAGAGACGTGTTTTCAAATCCCCTACAAATTGCCTGCCTTGTTTGCGAAGAGGTTAGTGATTCTCTCTGTTAGATAAGCGTAGGAAGCGTCTGCGTGGAAAACTGGTCTTCCTTCAATGGTTTAGGAGTTCAAGTCTTTCACCTGTGGCAACTCCCGTGGCATTTGGAACATCACAAGGTATTTAAGTCTGTTTATTGGTTTGCTTCTATGGGTCTACAGCGTGAGTCGGTGTCTATTCAGCAACAAGTACTCTTGCAGACTTGGAAAACTTACTTGTCCTTCAGCAAATGGAAATTCTTAACCATGTCTAATATCTGTCTCTAATCTTTACCTTCTAATTGCTCTAGCTTTCTGAGAGGGGAGGTATTTTTCTAGCGTCTGTAGTGTGCAAAAAGACCCTAGAAATGGTTTCTACACTCAAAACAGTTTTAAAACGGAAAAGCAAGTGGAAAAATAACTTGAAAGCAACTTGCAAGGACAGTCCTACGTTGTCAGGCCAAAGGTCTGTCCAACCCAGGGTACTGATTCCGGAAACGTCCAACAGGGAAAGGCGTAGGAATGGGGGGAGGCGTAAGAACAGGGTGCACAAATGGGGAGAGGTGTAAGAACAGGGCACGCGAACCTTTGTCCTTTCCTGATACCGTCTCCTGTGCTTCAGAGTCTTACGGAGTTAAAGTTGCACCTGGATCGTCCTGTCCAACATCTGCCACAAATCTTCTCCCTGAACATGTCTGATTCAGTGAATCATTTTGTATCGGTGATCTCGCAGCCTTCTGCAGTAACAGACTCTGCTTCAGCATCTTGTGTGGGGGGGGGAAATACTTTTTGTCTTCAGTTTGCTCTCTGGTCACTTGGTTGGATGCCGCTAGCTTTTAACTCATGATAAAGCGAAACACTAATCTCTCTCTATTGTGCTCGTAGCATTCAGGTTTTCTGGACCTCTCTTGTATGTCCTTTCAGACTTCCCCCACTGCCAAACCTCAGGAGTATTACCCTATCCACTTCTCCTTGGGTGGAAGTTGTTACCTTGTTACCTTTCTGGCTGATGTACTGATTCACTAATACCCTAAAACTAAGGGGTTGCATTCAGTTCTGATTTGGAAAATACAGTGTATGGATGAGTTCTCATTGTGGGTTTGGTCTGACTCCTGGCCAACATATACCTTTCTAGGTCTTACAGACTGCACGCACTGTCTCCAAGATGTGGATACACCAGGGATTGTAAAATGGCGCAGACAGCATACTTTGTTCTGTTCTTGATTTGTTTCCTGATAATTTCCCTGCTCGTTTCGAGACATTCTTCCTCAATGGTAAAAGCTGTCCCTGTGCATGTCCAGCTGGGGCTGTCTTTCCCTTGCGCACAGTACTTAGCATATAGTCTATGGCAGTAAATGCATCTTCATCACCTATCCAGCCTGCGTTGTGAAGCACTCCTCCAACTCTACATGGCCAGCTTTGTTTTTGACAGTCCAGAACAGGTTTGTATCTGTCACAGACTGTTAGCTCCTTATCCAGGTTTCTTTCCGTTTGTTCATGACTACATTCAACAGCTGATGTCCCAGGAGAGATGACTCTGTTCTGAGTACTTGCAATGTTTAAAAAACAAACAAAACAAAAACAAATCCCCAAAGCAGCCGAAACCCACATGTATTGCCATTCTTTATTTCTAATTGCCCTATTATTAACGAGTGAGATTGATCTTCTGTTTTACCTTGTGACAACTTACTTAGAGCCTCTGATGACAAATTTTGAGGCATCTTTTGAAAAACCAAGTATGCTGTGTTGATTGGGTTAGCTTTATCTGCGCGCTCATAGATTTCGTCACAAAACGACTGAGGCACAAACTTCTCTGTATATAGACCAAGCTAATGCTTCCCATTCAGATTTTTCTATTAGTCTACTAATTCTTCGAATACAACTTAAAAAAGAGTTCTTGGCCTTTTGTAATGTTTTCCAAAGAGTTGTCTTTAAAATCTTTTTTTTTTTTTTTTTTAATGAGGCTTTGATAAAAAGAAACCTCCCCTCTGTGTTGAGCTTGAGTTTCCATTGGTGGAATAGTCTGTTTGGTGAACTATACCACGGGGATAGAAAGCTGTAACCACTAGGCATAATTACACTTTAAGATCATCTTCCTATTTTTTCCTGGCATCTCTCCCAGGAACCCTCGAGGCAGAAAAGCTTCATTTGCCCACAGTCAGACCCATCTTTGGCCATGAGCTGCCCCGAATCTCAAAAGGCGGCGAGTGGGAAGAATGCCAGTTCCCCGCCAAAACAAGTTATCTTCAAGAAAAGTACCCGTGACAAAGCTGTAAGTACCGTAATAATGGATCTACATCAGTTTTACTTGCAGTCAGGCTCGAGCTTTACTATGAAGCTCGCTCTTATCCCCTTGATTTTTTTTCTGAAGGAGGGCCATCATCTGTAGTCAGTGCTAAGCTTGAGGAGACTGTATAAACAGAGTTTATAGAAGGCAAACTTCTCATGTATTATAAAAGAAAAGGTCTTGCATAAGAAGGCAACCCCTGTTTTACTCCTCCTTGGTTGTACTCCTGTTGCCAAATGTTTAGATAAAGGTGATTCGCCATCTTTTCAATCAGATGGCACCAAAAATCTTTAACTTCATAGTTCTTTGCCATGTGCGCAAGTATTTGTGTTGTACTTCTGGGGCTTGCTCCACATCACGTTGTCTCCTCCGATTTCCTGAAGCGTGTGAACCGTCCTGCTGAGTTTAGCGGGGATTGTATGTTTGTTAGAAAAGCAAAAAAATAAAAATAAATATATATATATATATACACGCACATATATACGCATATAACAAAATTTTTCTATGCTCTACATGACTGATAGTTCTCCTTTTTCTCCCACCCAAACATACAACCATCAATGCTTTGTAGTTCAGTCATGGTCATCTTCTCCCTGCAGCTGACCATTTATCTGGGAAAGCGTGACTTCATTGACCACATAAGGAGTGTGGAGTCTGTAGGTAAGTCTGCAAGGGTTTGTGCTGCCCTTCCTGGTCCCTTAACCCTGATTATCCTCTGTTAACATTTTTTATTTTTCCTTTCTTTCAGATGGTGTTGTATTGGTGGACCCTGCACTTATCAAGGGGAGAAAAGGTTCGAGATTTGCAATGTACTCTTCAGAGATTGCTAGTCCCCTTTTCAAGTGAGAGGCTGAAATAGAACCTTTTAACTTTGTTTTGAGGATACAAATGTAGCCTTCCTCAATGGACAGGCTACTTACTTAACATAGCGTAGGTCCTCACATAGAGAATGGATGCTATTGGGGTTAGACAACCCCAAAGGGTTTCCCTGACTCTCTAGTGCAGGAGGATTTGAGGTCCCACACTGGCTGCGTTGTCAGCCTGCTGCGTGCCTAACCTGCCATGTGCTTCTTCTCAGTGTACGTGACGCTGACCTGCGCTTTCCGCTACGGCCAGGAAGACATTGATGTGATCGGCCTCACCTTCCGCAGGGACCTCTTCTTCTCTAGGGTCCAGGTGTACCCGCCTGCTGACAAGCCAGAGACGCTCTCCCACTTGCAGGAATCTCTGTTAAAGAAGCTGGGCAAAAATGCTTACCCCTTTCTTTTTACAGTAAGTGTCTCATAAGAGCATCGTAAGACCCTCTTCTCCTTGTCTGCTATTACCTGGCTGCTGACACTCAGTGCTGGACTGAAGATGGGCATTAATAGTGAATCCATTTTATGCAAAATTCCAATTTTTAGTGAAAGGCAATGTACCAATTTTTTTCTCTTTCCGTTCCAAGTGGTAAAGAGCAAGAAGAGGTTAACCGCTTATGCAAAAAGTCCTTGCAAGAGGTGAAGAAACATGCAACGGCTTTCCTCTAGCCAGAGTCCCACCTACCTTTTTTAACTTCCTCTCTCCTGAGGGACTGGAATACTCTATACCATTGCCCCAATGCTCACAGAGAAAGTGCCAGTTTCTTACTTTTTAAGAAACGTATGGATCAGAAAAGTAAATAACACAACCCAGCCTTGCTCATTACCGGGGAGATCCAGGTTTGAAATCCACGTGTTCTGATATAGCAACAAATAGGTCTTTGAATGATACTTGCTTTTGCTTTTGTCTGGGACTTGTTGATACAGAGCAGGTGTGAGGCCCAGTATATCAAGGCCTCTGTCTCAGCCACAACCTCAAAGGGTTACTGCGTTACAGTTGAGTGACCTGTTGTCTTCAGGCTTGTGTTTTGTGCCTTTTGCGAACAACACGTTAATTAGAATATGCAGAGTTGGAAGTCAGGGCAATAATGCTGTGGGTTGTTTTTCCCTTCTTGCTCCCACAGTTTCCAGATTACCTGCCTTGTTCAGTCTGCTTGCAGCCTGCACCTCGTGATGTTGATAAGGTGAGACCGACGGGATACTTAACGCTTACAATTGAGGAGGAAAGTTGAATGGAAAAAAGTTGTGAATTTATTTGGCTGGCTTGAGAGTTAGAATAAGGCGATACTGGGGTTTACCGTGCTTTGCATAGTGGCCTCTCAGGAACCTGGCACTTAAAAGCTAAAGAGTGTCACAGAGTTGGAATTTAGGCCCTCAGAGTAAGAAAAGGGAGTCCAGTCAAATAGCAGCAAGACTGTGCTAACTCTGCAATGCTTATAGTTTCCTTAAGTGATCCACATGATCTGTGGGTTGGACGCACATAAAATGCTGTAGCTGTCAGGCAAGCTACTAGCTAGTCAGTTACATTAGAGAAAAGGAGGCTGAAATGTCATTGATCACTATAAATACCATATGTTAAGACTTGCTTCTGAATTAAAACACATGCAGAAAAGGGCTGTCTTGGACATGTGTGTAAACAAAACAGAAACCCTGGAGGAAAAGTAACCAGATATTGAGATGTTCTGCAAAGCTTCTGACACTGTTTAAAATATTCCTGTTATACTTCATTTTGGATACTTCTCTGAACAGCTGGACTAGACTAACAACTGGGCAAAACTGGATGCAGACTTTGAAGTCCAGTGCCACAGAGACAGACTGTATGTTTGCCGAGCAACAGTAGTCTGGCAAAAGTTTCCCCTACTGCTCTGAAGAGATATCTGACGCTCGGCCAAATGCACCATAGCGGTATAAGCCCATTAAGGCAAAGGTCAGCTTGGTCTGATCGCTCCCAATCCATTGGGAAGTAAGAGAGTTGACCCTGAGTCGGGTGTTGGCGTTTTAAAGCTGTTCGGAGACCCAAGGCAGCCTAGAGAGCCTTGCAGACTGGTCAGTCTTATAACCTGACGGGTGCTATGAATTTTAAGTGTACAGCAGAACTGTTACAAAAGGCTTTTTAGAAGCAGGGTTGTCATCTGTCAAATGCTGGGAATTAAGCCTTACCAGGAGCACGGAGCAGGTGGATGCTGCCACCCCAGCTGCCAGGGGTTTCTGTTACAAAGACTGGAGGCCAGAGCAATTTGCAACTGTCAGGAGTCTGCTTGTACCAGCTGTACAGAAAGATGTCTAAACAGCTGCAGATGTGCTTGGCTTGTGAAACTCTAGTTTCACAGCTGTCCTCTCTTTGCCTCTGGCAGACCTGCGGGGTGGACTTTGAGGTGAAGGCTTTCTCGACAGAGAACGTGGAAGAGAGGACTCACAAGAGGTAATAGGACATTTGTGCACGTGGCTGTCTCCATCACTGCCCTCTGTAACAGTTTCGGGGATGGGGGCGTGGTTCAATAGTGTGCCATGGTGGCTTGTTAAGCTTCACCCTGCTTGTCAGCAGACCTCCTGGGTGTAAGGGCGCATTAATGCAGAACTCTTGCCTCTGCCAAGCAGAAATAAGTGCCCTGTTGTCTTCTGCTGCTTCCCAGGAGCTCAGCGCGCCTGTTGATCCGTAAGGTACAGTATGCTCCGGAAGAGCGGGGACCTCAACCGTGTGCGGAGACTACCTGGCAGTTCTTCATGTCTAACAAGCCCTTGCACTTGAAAGCATGCCTCAGTAAAGAGGTGAGGAGCATGCCCAGGGGTATGGACATCATGGCCTTCCAATATTCATTTTTCTGCCCAAAGCACCTACTTCCAGTGTTATTCAGGCCCTGTTTCTGTTGGGACTTACTTGTCCCAGCACTCTAGGGCTTTAAGGTAATTTCTGCCCATAGCTACTGCTAGGGATGGCTGGGACCCCTCTACCAGGCTCATTTGGGGTCGGTGGAAGCTATTGGGAAGGGTTCTCTTGCCTCCTCTGGCCTTTGGGAGGAGATTTAAGGTGGGGGGACTAGAGGGGTGTTAGGGCTTGGGCGAAGCCTCATGCTGGGGTTTCTGTGCACCGAACCCCTTCTAGGTGTACTACCATGGTGAGCCCATTCCAGTCACTATCACCGTCACCAACAGCACAGAGAAAACGGTCAAGAAGATCAAAGTGACAGGTATGTTTTTCTTCCTGTTGTTTGGGATTCTTTGAGGGCCAGAAGACTGTACGACGGGAGGGCTGAGAGAGGGTCAGAAAGTAGGCCTTGCAGCTACTTAAGCAGGCAGCATGTGCGAGTCAGAAATTTGTCTCTCTACCCAATCCTTTGCTGTTTCTTTTCTGCTCTTCATGGTGTGAAACACTGTAGACCTTTTCCTGGCTCTCAGGGGTACTCGCACGGCTTACTTTCAGGCACTGGTATCTCCCCTCTAGAAAATGGAAAGGGACCGGCACTTCCGGTGAGCAAGGCAGGGGCTGTGGGGAAATCCACCTCTTTCGGGAGGCCAGTGTGACGAGTCCTCCTGTGGGTGTGATGCCCCTGGGGTACATGCAGCTGCGCCTGCGGTTTCAGAGACATCTGAAAGATGTCAGTCTGGGAGACAAAGTATGAGAAAGAAGAGAAAGCAGGACAGGAAGAAAGTTGCTGAGGGTTTCACACAAGTCCATCATGGAGAAAGCCAATTCAGCACCGGTGTCTGTAGTCTGATACACTCTCCAGTGACTCCCAAACATTTTTAGCCTCTGTCAGGCTTAGAAAGACCTTGTTGGCCCCCAGGTTCTCTCCTCATCACTTCAGTCGGAAGTACCCTATGCTTTTTAGTGTTTGACTGGAAGATATAAGCCACTTCTTTTGGCAGTCTGCAGAGGACAATTTGGTATCCAGTCTGCTTGGTGATGGTGTCTCCTCAATGCAAATGCATTGGCTATAGATATGTGAGAGATACCAGTGACCAGAGATTAAAAAAAAAAAAAAAAAACCCAGATACACTTAAAGAAGAAAGAGGCAGATGTTTATAATGGAAAGAACAGGCTCCCAAGGGAAACCATGGGTTAGTGACTTTTTGTCATCTTCAAATCAAGGCTGGACCCCTTTCATGGAAGATGGACTTTGGCCACGTGTGTTCTGTTGGTCTGTAACCAAGTCACGCTGCCCAATCTAGTGGTCCCTTCAAGCTCCGAGGTTTTCTTGGTGCTCTCACGGTGTCCTCCATGCCTGAACCTTGGTGGGGCGGCTATGTTGTTTCTGTTGCATGTGCACAACTGATTGTTCCCTTTCTCCTTTCTCACTCAGTGGAGCAGGTTGCCAATGTCGTTTTGTACTCAAGTGACTACTATACAAAAGTAGTAGCTGCAGAGGAAGCGCAGTGAGTGTCTGAATGCTCCGCTTATCCCTTCTCACTACGTTCCTTCACACCCTTTTAATTACCTTCCTCTTCAGAAGTGGGAGAAGCTCCTAGCTGTAGTCTGGCAGTTAGTTGCCTGCTGTTACAGAACTCTCTCCTCTCTCCCTGGTGTGTGTCCCCCTACACCACACATTCCCGCTGGATGCGGTTGGTCTCCCTTTTCATATTGCCAGCAAGTACACTCGCTGCTCCTCCGTTCAGGGACCAAATGGAGGATGCAGAAGAGCTCTTCTGTCTGAAGAGTAATTGCCTACTAGAAGAACTTAGCAGGGGCTGTGGAGGGCTCCCTGTTGCTTGAAATCTTTAAATGGAGCTGCAGCATTTTTCTTAAAGGTGTTGCTATTTAGCTGGAAGTCAGCCATGCTCTAGCTTGAGGTCACTATGTTTTATGCCATTTCAGTTTCTTCTTGCCTTAAAAAAGAAAAAAGAAACACGAAAACCTTGAGCCTATTGATGGTGTGTATTGGACTGTATTGGCAGTGCACTGAACCTTGCTTTGTGAGAAGGGTTGGACCCGCCCAGAAATACTAATTTTTTTCTGCTTTTTGATCTGCAGCATAGGGGCAGGTTTTCCTTTGAGTGCTGATCTTCTAAACTAGGATTCGTTTAGGCCAGCTTTAGAGGTGTGCAGCGTAGTTTGGCCTACTTTAAATGTCTGCCTTAAGGTGACGTGAATCATGTTCTGCAAGTGCTTGTTTCTCTCTGCTAATTACAAAGGGAGTTTGTATGACTAGTTGAAATGTAGACGTCTACATTGTAGACACCTAAATCTGGACAGATAAATCCCACTCCTTCTGGATGACTTTGTAACCTATTTTGAAATTCTCTTAGTTGGCTTTCTAACTCAAATCAGAGTGTTTCACTTTCCTTCTCTCACCTGCTTGTTATTTTCAGGGAGAAGGTGCAGCCAAACAGCAGCCTCACCAAGACACTGACGCTTTTGCCCTTGCTAGCAAACAACCGGGCGACCCGAGAAATAGCCCTGGATGGAAAGCTAAAGGATGAAGACACCAACTTGGCTTCTAGTACCATGTGAGTAGAGTTTTAAGGGGTACAGGTTGGTGGAGGGTTACGAAGAAGTAGGGAGAACAGAGGAGACTAACCTATGAGGAGTTTGTACCTGCATCCAGATATGCATCTGAATGCACGACTTATCCCTGTCATATTCATTCAGACTGAAGGACAGTCACAGACCTGGAGAGACATTAGCTGTCCCAGAGGCTCCAACATGTTGTTTTATCACTTTTGTGAGAAAGGATGTTCACTTAGCTCTTACTGCAGCCATATGTTGTGACCTCTGCTGTTGCACTGTCTAACCTCACTATGTGTTTTCTTGGGTAGCATTAAGGATGGAATAGACAAGACGGTGATGGGGATTCTGGTTTCCTACAAGGTCAGAGTGAAGCTCACTGTCTCAGGGTAAGCGTAATAGACTTGTGCTACATCTGCATAGAGTTCAGAGAGTGCAGTGTGTGAACTTATTGGAGAATGGGCAGGACAATCTACGCTAAGAGGAAGGATGCACGTTCTAAGACACCAGGCTCCCTGTAAAGCCTGAACTGCATGCCATTCATATCTTTCTTGCCTTATCCAAAAAACCTTTTCTGAGCCAGAGGCCTTGGATGCAATATGACTTTATGGTTGAAGTCTGAACCTCTGGTTTGCATTGCAATTTTTTCCTTCAAACCTAACTTTTATTTTGTAAGATTTTAAGTGTCATTTAGTTTGAACCTTTATATTGGAGGTCTTGCTCTCCCAGAGCAAAAGGTAGAGACATCTGCCCGAGAGTCATAAATGCTGTTGCTCAAGTTCTCTTCTGAGCCAGCCTTCTGGGAGAAGCTGATATTATCTCTGAGTTAATTCCCAGGGTACAGTGCAGAAGAAGTAACTCTCAGTTGATGACAGTTGCTGTTTACATTTGTATTTCATCTCTCTCTCCTCTTTTGTAACATAAAAATGGGTCAATGATTTGCCTAAAGCATATGATAAAAATGACTGCTGCCTTCTGTAGTCCCTTGGCTTGCTTTGTCCTTCTCTCATGGCTCTGAGACCCTTGGAAAAGGAGCCATGCTGACACTTGTTCAGGGGTTCAAAAACTTGGACTCGGTCTATGGGAAGGACGTGAAAAATGAAAATCATTTTTTTTTAAAAACAAGATTACTTGGATGTTTTGTTTTGTGGCAAGTGGAGAAAAGGATACGGGGAAAGGACCAGGGAAAAGTCATTTCAGTAGTCCACCAAAAAAACAATATTTGGTAAAGCACTGCAATGGGGAGGTGCTAACTATGCTTTTTTTTTTTTTTTTCTCCTTGTTTCCTTCTCTAGCATGCTGGGAGACTTCACCTCCAGGTAAAACAGTTATGTCTTCTTCCTTTTCAGACCATGCAGTCATAAGTTAATCTGTCCTTTTAACCTCTTTCCTATTCCCTTCCTCTCCTCCCTAAAAAATAAGCAACTACCCCTTCAACTGATAGAAATAATTTTTCAGCTGTGAAAATAAGTCGATTACAAAGATGTCTCTGACTTATCTGTGTGCAAGTAAAATAATACTTCAGCACATAATAAATCCAGCTTATTAGAGTGGATGTGCCCAGAATTTTTGTGGAGATAAGAGTTTAACTCTTTCTGAGGGGGAAGTTATGATTTAAAAAAAAGATGAACTAATGGGTTATGTTGAACTTCAGGGCTTGGGTGGGCCTGGGCTGAGAAGGGAAGGGGACTGAACCAGGCATGGATGGGTCTGTAATCTGATGCATTTTCTCTTCTCCCCAAAGTGAGGTGGGCACAGAGCTGCCATTTCGTCTCATGCACCCCAAACCTGAGGATAAGAACACAACAGGTCAGTTATGCGTCATTTTTCCTTTTCTGCTCATCAGTCCCAGGTGAAATCTTGCCCCATTGCAAGTCTTGCAATGATTTATTCTACTGGAAGCCTTTAGAGTCCAGAAGAGGCCAGCTAGGGGGCTGCTATGTTTATCAACCCCAAGGCACACAATAACAGGGAGAAGGTATGCTAAGATGAGAGAAGGTGGAACAGGATCATGTTCCTTTTTTTTCATCTGTGGAATCACGACTACAATCACAGGGCCCTGGGGAAGCACTGCACAGTTAAATCTCACAGCTACCATGCAAAATGTCCTGAATGCAGCTGTTAACAATTTCCATCCAGATTCCAAGACAGCAAATGGCAGTCTTTCACAGAAAACACCTAAAACACATGAGCATTTAAAAAAAAAAAAAACAAAATACTTCTAAACAGAGTTAAGAGGTTAAAAAACCACCACCAACAAAAACTGTTGGTGGTTTTGGACAAAAAAGTTAGACAAATGGAATTACCATTATGCTGATGTTGCGTTGACCACAGTGCGTATGGTGTGGCCCTAATATTCAGTATCTGTGTGTAGGTATCTGAGAGCAATACTTGTTCAGAGCCAAGCCACTAAATGGAAGCGTGGGATCTTTAAAGCTGCCAGGAATCCAGCCTGAGCCCAAACTTACCTGAAGCTGCTGTATCTAAGAACATGGCCACTGGAAAAAGATGAAGGAGCCTACCAAATGAGTTATCCAGAGATAGGAGCTATGTTCTGTACTGGAAGCCAGGCATTAAAAAAGGGTGGCCCTTAGTTTTGGTCATGTTAAATTGCTGAAGGAAACAAATGTGAATAATGAGGAGAGAAACTGATGGTCCTTTCTACGCTCATGTTGCTCTGGTTGGAAATCAGCGTTTGCTAATTATGAATGTGCCAGAATGGGGAAAAGTAAGTTTCTTCACTCCCCTTCAAGAATTGCAGCAAGAAAACTCCCATTTCCATGGGGAAAACCTCTGCTGCCAGCAGGGCACCTCAGCAGAGACCCAGCATGTGCTCATGGGAGTTTTCTGTGCACCTTACACCCCCATCAGAGCAGCGCCATGAGTCCACAAGGCTTTGGGTCGAATCCACCCTACCCTTCTCGCCCCCTTTCTGCTGCAGAGGAGACTGCCATGTCACTGGGGAGCAGCATAGGTCGCCCCACAGTCAGGCAGCCCAGAGCAGCCTCCATCCCACCCACGAGGGACAGGTTGGCTCCTCAGGGTTGGTCCCTAGCCCTGGGAAGGCTGGACCACCGGGGAGAAGCTGCTGCGACACACACACTTTCGTTAGCGTAACTGTGTCCGTGCTACGCTTTTCCCTTTCATGCTGCAGGCCCGTAAAGCTGCACTAGCAAAATAGGGACACTGCTGCACACTTGGTCATGATCTCCAACAGTAACTTGGGGTAGGAGAGCAGCTTGGCAAGGGTCTTGCCCGCTGTTCCAGCAGCTTGCGCACGCTGAAGTGTTTCCCTCAAACTTTCCTGCAGCAGTTTTCCCTGCTCAAGAGGCTGGCAGGGCTGGGGCCAGCACTGGTGTCCCCAGGAAGGTGGCTGGTGAGGGCCATCTAGCGTCAGTGAGGAGCCTCACACCGGAGAGGTAGCTCCAGGCCCCAAAATCTGGAGCTTTCACAGATTCCGAGGAAAGCTGGAAAACTTCAAAAAGGGACTGTCCAAAGGCTCAGGCAGCTGTAAGGAATTTTGTGTGTATTTTTAGAGTGATGTGAATTTTTTCGACATGACACCACGTTTCGGTGTTGACAATACCACAACCCCCTTCTTTGCTACCCTTGCCTCAGGCAGATAATTCTGGCAGAAGCAACTGGAATATGAGGAAAAATGGAAGTCGGGCAGCTCTCCCCTCTAAGACCATTTCAAAGGATGGCTGATATACTCTCTTTTATATAGTGCGCTCTGAAGGATGTGGGCAGAAGACTTCACAAGGGAAATAGAGAACTGCAATATTTCGCAGATCACTTCTCCCAACACATCCTCTTACCAAAGACGCAGCCCACATATTGTTGGCAACATCAAAGTCATCTAAGAGCTTGCTGTCAGAAGAGAGCTGTGGTTCACGCCTTTTGTACAAACAGAAATGGCAGGTTTTTTTCTAACTTGACAGAAGTCGGGTAGTTTCAGGAGCTCTCTGCCGTGGGAAAGCCCTATAAGCAGTTAACTGGAGAAATAAATGCTTTTTCCTCAAAAAAGGAAAGTAGAACACAAAGGCAAATTCCCCTGAAGCCTGTAGAGCGGATTCGAAAACTCTGCTGAAGTGCAGTGTCTGAGCTCATTACAGAAAATAAAACAGCCTCCCAGATGAAGCTGGTAAAGTAAAAATCTTTCCGGCTTTATTGGCTGGTAATTTTCCATGCCCTGTGTCTAATCACTCTTCTCAAGTTGTGTGCTCATGCTTTGGAGAGGCAATTTTTATTCTACCAGCTTCATACAGAAACTCAGAGAAATGTGCTTCATTAATGAAATAATAACATCTAATTTAGAATCAAGTGAATCAAGACTTAATTGCAGAGATGGAGATTCAACAAGTAGTGTTCAGGCTCTTAAAGACCCCGCAAGTTGAAATGTTCTTTCTTCGCTTTTTGGGCAGCCTCGGCAATGGATGTAGGCAAGGGTGCGTGGCCAGGGGATTTTGAGATCGCTCCTTATCTTCTTTTTCCATTCCCTTTTGTTTTTTACTGATGAGTCAGTAATAACAAATTTGACTGTTGCACTTCCCTGCTTACTCTGCTGCTACTTCTTAAGATACAGCTGTGAGAAAGAAAAGATGGCAAAGCAACCAGTTTATAAAGCTAAAGCGGGATTTAAAAAAATGCCTGCACATGAGACAAGGTACCACGTATTAAGGTTTATTCCCCGCACTGGGGTAATCTCCCTTTCCTTTCTCTAGCCAAGGTGATTTATGGCAAAAGTAGATAAAACATGATTAGTATTAGTATATTTAACTGCGCAGACCTGATTTGAGTGTAGAGAACTTCAGACAGAATGGGAGAAAATAAAGCGTTTCAAGAACGTGGTTTGATTTTTTTTTTTTTCAGGGCCATGCTGGGGCAAGTGCGATCCACTGCACTGTGCTTTATTTCACAGCAGATTGCTTTGCCCTTTCTATTTGTCTGCGAGTGGCATCGGAAGCACGCATCACTCAGAGTGAAAAGTGGGTTTGTCAGGGTGCATGGCTGTCACAGATTGCTTGCTCTTCCTTTTCTGTTGCCGGAGGAGACAGAAAAAAACTGCTTGTTACCTTTCTTTTCGCAGGTTTATTTATAGCTTCCTTGTCTTGGACTTCTTATAGACTGACATTTGCATGTTTCATGTGTGCTGGTTTTGCAACTGCTTTTGGACCCATGTGGTTCGCAGGTGGCTATTTTTAGAAGAAACAACAGCTCCTGTCACATTGACAATCTGGCTTTTCTGCCGGTTGACAAAAATGGGTGTCTTTTAAGATGGATTCAAATTGGGCCATGTCTTTCCGTGCTCCCAAGCCCTTTCCTGGTCAGCAGTTAGCCCAGAAGCTCCTGCTGGGTTTTTCTCCAGGCTATACCTTCAGCACGAATTCTTTGGTCGGAGGCTTTCCTGCCCTTCTCCTGAGGTTTGACAGCGCGGGGGCCTATGCCTTGGACCCTGGCCTTCGTTTTGGCTGTTAGTCAACAAATAGTCGTTTATGTGCTCCCTTGTTAAACTTGCAGGAAAGGGTTGGTTTCAAGAAACCCATCAATGCTGTGTCCCTTTAACACTAAGACTATACCTGCCTTGCATTGATAGAATAATTTTTTGAAATGAGTGAGTTTTTAAAGGACTTGAATGTCTTGAAAAATAACTCAGCCTACTGGGTTTTTTTTTTTTCATAAAGTTAAAAGAGGTTAAAAGCAAGCTTTTAATTAAAATTACCATATGTCACCACTTTAATTATATGGAATCACTTCTGTGGCTGCATAATAAAAGCTTATAGAAAACCTTCTGCAAAGAGGATGATGACGTTCTGGAGCCTCATCTATGCCCCCTCCCATCCCAACCCTCAAAACAATCGCTGAGATGCCAGTTTAAAAAAAAAAAAAAAAAAAAGCAAAAACAAAAGCCTACCCATTTTCAGGTTCTGAGAATTTTTCAATGTTATAATGTTAAATAAGCCACAGGATAGCAAGATAATAGTGTGGAGTGGGCCCAACTCTTGCTAAGGTTTATTAAACTTCTATTTAATAAGCCTACGGGAGGTAGTGTAGCAGCTTCAAGGTAAGATTGTATCCTTGCATCTTGGAACGTAATCTTACTGCTGAGGTATATGATAGGCTTTACTCTCCCATGTCTACCACAGTATCTACCTATGTATTGATTCAATAAGTATTTATCTGACAAAAAGGTATATGCCTAACTGAAACAATACCTATTTTTCCCTGAACGGATTCTGTAAAATCAACTTGAAACTGCATTGGTGGATATCACTCAGCTTCGCCCACATTACTGATGTCACTGTTCCCATAGTAATGAATGTACTTCAAAGAGGGGGAAGAGAGCAGACTATTTAAAGAACAAAAATTGGAGGAAAAATAAGATGAGAACAATGTTTCATGTGTTGGAAGTTTTAAAAGCTCCGTTCTAAATATTTCATTTCAGACTCATTTCAATCAAGCATGGATGCCCTCAGACTAACTTTACAGACTTCACTTTAGCATCCATGAGCAGAGGAAACTATCCGGAGTCTGTATAGATACCACCATGAATGCCTTTACAAGGGCCACTTGAGAGAGTTTGGCTACAGAGTGCCCCATTCGACGCACGTTTAAGGCGTATTTTTCCAACAGTGCTAGTCACCACTTGTTCCCCTTGATTTCAGTGCAAGTTGTGGGTGGGAATTCTCCAGCTAGCAAGTTTCCAGTCACTGAAGCATCCCAAACGCCTGCCGGCTTCTGTAGACTCATGGCCTAGTTGCAATTTGTTCCGTGATTTAAATTCATGAGAAATAAGACAGTGAAGCAACTGTTACTTGATAAGCAAAAGTAATTGCAGAAGCCAAACAATCCCACCCCCATTTCATCACTGCAATGCCATCTGTTCTGCTTATTTTGGGCTGTACTGAGACACCTTCCAAGGAATCCTGCTAGCAAGCCTGAACACTGCTTCATTATGGTGTGGTTAGCAAAGAACCTACTAGGGAAACACACGTGCCAAAGGTCTCAGGATAATGTCTAGGCAAGCGTGAAATCAGGAGCATTGCCTCTCGTATGCATAACCTGTCTGAGGAGAGATTTCCTAGCCCTTTCTGTATTCTGTCCTCTTTCTGCTTTCAAAACCTTCACGTTTATTGAACGTGAACGTCTTCTTGTGATCGACCGGCTCCTTAAAGCACAGTGACAGACCGACTAAGAGCAACAGCATGTCGCGCAAGTGCTCTCATCTCTGAATAGAAGTGCATGCACAGATGTCTCTCACAGCTGCGGCCACTAGCAGCCTAAATGGGAAAATCTGTCTTTGTTTCTCAGCCCTTCTGATGTCTTGGGCGATGTTGCTGTAGCGAGGGCTTTTCCAATAGGGCGAATGAGTTTTGCTTCATCAGGTGTATGTACCTATGTTAGGATTTTCTGAATTCTCCTTGTATTGCTGCAAATCCTGCCGCTTGTCACTGACGCTGTTTTAGCTCTTCACTTTGTAAATATTCTGCTGTTCTTAGCATCACTGTTCTAACTATTAATTGTGTCTTTTTTTCCTCCTTTACTGCCTGTTGATAATTACAGGGAAGGATTGGTAAGTTTCTCTTCATAGTATTTTACATTTTGGCTGCAGTTAAGTGTTGGTTCCTTGGAAATTCCCCAAATTTGTCCAGAAGTCCACAGGGCTCACAGAGTATGAACATAAATCCAAAGTCAGTAAGTTACTGTGGCTTGACAAATTGCTGCCATCAGCTGAACAGCAGTGACCAACCATGCGAAACTCATTTAAGCGAACACGTTTTGCTTCACAATTGCAGAGAATCAGCTGATGCTTTATAGCGCTATAAGTTTCGGGAACTCAACTGGTTTAACCAAGTGCTCGTATTGTAGTACAGAAGGAATAACGATGAAAGGTTTCCTATTTTAATTCTAGGCAAAGACCCTTGCAGACTGTAGGCTATTTCGCTAGCTGACAAATATTTAGCTGGAGTGGGCATGATTCAGCACAGATGAAAACCTCAGTTTTTGTCCTGACTTGTTCAATCAAATGCTGTTCATGCTAGCTAGGATAATGCCGATCAAGATAGTCTGTGGGACTTGGATCCAAACGCCCCTGAAGACAAAGGACACGTTACCAGAGTACGCTCCTGGCTTTTCTTCCTCTTCCTACATGCTGCTTTTGGTCTGATTGATTCCAGCAATTTTTTATACTTTTTGAAAGGCCTGTGTTTCTTCCATTTCAGTGAAGCAGAGCTGGTATTTGAGGAGTTTGCTCGTCAGCAGCTAAAAGATATGCTTGATGATGAAGAAAACAAGAATGTTTCCTCAACTGATGAGTGACTAGAAGAACAAACTGCCAGAGAAGCTATGTAGTCCAGCATCAATTAAAAATTTAGGACCTAGGTTTCTAGTAAACTGCAAGTTCTCGGTGTATGCGTTTTGTCTCAGGGATCAACCCTGAGATCCATGGGCGTAAAAGCATGAATCTCTGTTGCTTATTAAAAGTTCCATAAGTACGTAGAAAATCCATCAAAAGCTGATGCTTACTCTAGCTCCTAGAGGAGGACAGGAAAGCTGCCATGGATGACCTCTCCTTTCAGGGCTACCTACTAAAATGGTTGGTTGCTCTCACCATGGATTAGAGCGTAAATGATGGTGTGTTTGTGCAGCCTGTCTAGACTTACCTGGGGTCAAAGAGCGTCTGCCTTTGAAATGCTAGTGAACCAAGTCTTAGTTTGAAAGGCTGGCTTGCTGCCTTTGGTGATCTGTTGAAGCTTCTCAGTGGACTACACAAAACCGGTTTTATTTCCTTTTGGATGCTTTTGCATGTATGCTATATCAAACTCACCTAGTGAATATTTTCAGTGCTTGCACTGTGACACCCTCTATGGCTTACATGCACTTTCTATACCATTAAACGTCTCACAAGTCTTCTTTCCCAGTGGCTGTAATGCTGAGTGAGGTACTATGCTTGCTTTCTAACAATATGCTTAACAGTTAAGTGATTAAAGATGGATGAGAGAAATGTGCACTGCGCATGAATTCCTTAACAAAGCTCCCTGTATACAACACCCAAGAGAAAACGGCTAGCCCAGACTGATCCTATATTTAATCTAGTTTCCTGAATGCAACAGTGCTTCAGAAGAAGGTGCAATAAAATTAGGGAAGAAATTATGGGACAATCTGCCTGAAGAGCCTTTCCTAACATCCATCTGCCAGCGGTTGGTCTCTGCCCTAAGAAATGAGTTTGTTATTCTTTGCAAACTTTGGTCTCACTTGTTGATCTGGATATTCTTATTATGCATGTAAATGTCTAATCCTTTCATGAATCTTGCTTAGGCTTTGGCTGAAGTGAGTTGAATCATGCTAATTCCATTCTGCATGTAAAAAGACTGGTATTTTCTTTTTCCTGTTTTCTGGTCTAACTTTGCTTTTCTATGTCTCTGGTTTAAACACTCCTGCAAAGCCTGAATGCAGGGCCTACCTCCATTAATATGAACTTGTGTTTCCCATCCTACACACAGGAAAATGGAATTAAAGAGCTTCCCATTTAGATCCTAGCTAACAGCAACGGGCCCTTAGCACAGAATAAAAAAACAGGGGGATGTTTTAGAGATGTCCGCTTCCTCCCAGCAGGAGTGGGACTCTGGATGAAAGCTGGCTGTAAGCAAGTTGCAGTTCCGTCCTGCTCAGCCTGCAGAGGCTACGTACGCTGTGAGCTTGCCCACTCTCTGGCTTCAGTTTCTATTGACAGCTGTAGCAAGCTGAAGCAGTCTGCTCTGGAGAAAGCGTGGGCTGTGCTCGGACTTTTCTGCAGATCCATTCTCTATACAGGCCTCGTTTTTTTGAGCAGAGGTTTTCCTCTGTCTTATTGACATCATCACGGTTACAAGCCCCGTTTTACGGATGGTCCAAAGGCTTAGCCAAATAGCTTTTCACGTGGCCTCTAACACTTACAAAGAGGTTGGGTTAAAAGCAAAGTTTTCTCCTGTTTTGCTTTATCATGTTCTCTAAACTGGGCTTGATTAAGATGCTGAAAGCAGTGAATTAAAGACCACAGATGATTTCACAGTTCAATCAGTGCTCTCAATGCCACCTGTTAGTCTGTTTGGCTCAATTTGTCACAGCTGTCTCACTTTAGATGAAGTTGCAACAGGCAGTATGTTCAGGCTCCTCTTTCTAAGTGCTATAGCCTTTGCTGCTAAAGAAATGCTGTGACTGTTTCTAGCTGTTCCTGGTCAGTATGAATTGTGTGATTTCAACTTTGACTTTGAGGGAGGGTTAGGCTTCTGTGCCTAGGTTTCTGGCTCTAGTATATTGATTAATAATTTTTTTGGTGGCTCAAGAAAGATGCGCTGATGCAGTAGGGTTGAACAAAAGGTTAGTAGCAGAAGGTCGGCAGCAAATACGCTGGCCTCAGGGAGGCTGGTACTCCGGAAAGCATTTCAAGATGGATTTAAAGGAGAAGGAGAGGCTGGTGTGTGACAGTCTTGCCAATCTTGTTCAGAAGTGCAGCTTCCCCTGCAAAGGCTTTTCCTTCAGTGTTCCTGGCTACTAGAGCTGTAAATACGGGATTAGCAAACTAAAAGCTTTTGGGTTTTTTTGTGTATCAAGCCTGTACAACACCTCCGTTACTGAACTTCCTCTCGAATTCATCTGTGGTGATGAGTTCAGTAAGCTAATTGCGTAACAAAGTCACGATGCACCGTGCTGCAAAAAGGGGTGGAATCGCAACGGTTAAATCGGTGCTTTTGACTTAGCTTAGAAAAGCCTCTTCAGACATTTGACCATTAGCTTAGCCCTGGACTAGCCTGTTTGCCTAGAGAGGGAGCGAATACTTTTCTGCTGGCTCCTTCAGCTTCTCTTTCTGCAAGCCCTTTAGTCAACAGATGCTGACCTTTGTCAGCAGAAAAGAAGGTCTTTAGCTGGAACCGTTTGCCTTTTATCTTTCCTTTCTTCTGGTTCTGATGTTACACGATCCTCTAGGAGGTCAGACCTGTAGCCTGCTAGTCATATTTACAGCTGGAAGAAAGTAATCCAATTTCCTGACCCTCTGCCTTTGATGTGGTGGGAGTCCATTTATAGAAAGGGCTGCCAGCCCGCAGAGAGCGATAAGGCCCGAGAATGATAGCAGCTATGGAACTGCCTATTTTGAGCAGAACTCGCATCAAATACATGGCCTCAGTGCTTTAGCTGTCTGCTGGAGCTTGGTGACAAATGCTTTTTTTCCCTTGTCCGTCTCCATGAAATCCCAGCTACGTAGCTGTAGCTAAGGGATACTATAAGGCAGCCGGCTCTCCGAAGGCAGCCTCTGCCTTTCCTGGGGAGCTGGGCATCAGAGAGACAAGTGCTTCAGCGCCGGGTTACCTAACGCTAACAGCACTAGAGAGAAATGGTGAGTGGAAAGGCTGAGTCAGGCAAGAATGTTTCTGTACTGAAAAATAAAGTGTTATTTGGCATCAGGAACCTGCTTTGACTCTGAGTAGGTGGGAGGCAAGAAAAGCCAATTGCTCTCAGCAGTGTCTGATTAAACGGGCACTAAAGTGAGATTGTCAGGGACCAGCAGATCGTAAGACATAAAAGGTGGAAAGTACCTTTTTTGCAGGAGGCCGACGAAAACAGATCTTAACTAGGGGTAGAAAAGAAGCACTCTAACTCGCCTCTACGTGATTTACCCACGGTATTTTTTTAAGTACAGTGGAAGAATTGAGTAGTGGAAACAACCACAGGAATCACAGAGAGATCCCCGCTTTTTGGCTCGCCTCGAGGTCTGAGCTGAAAAGCTTTACTCTGGCCCCTAGTAAAGACGGCTGTGGTGCTTGCACCAAGCAGGAGGGGCGAACGATGCTCTGGTGAGACGGCTTATTTCAGTTTGCACCGAAACTTGCCTACGTTCCTGTGAACCTTTACTATCGTTCCAAGGGCTGCGTTGCTTTCCTGAGGGCAAAAGCCATCAACGCAGACGGGGGAGCAATCCCGCAGGACCCTGACTGAAAAGGGTGCAAGAGCTCAGCCGGCGAGGGCCGAGGGCGTCCCTCGGGCCGTGGCCACGAGCGATGGGGCTGCCGCCACCCCGGCTGCGACACGATGCGTTTGGGCTTTGGGAACGGGGCGCT